TATATTTAAACTTCTTGTTCTACCGATTATGCAACAATCTCTTCCCCTTCACACTTTCACCTTTTCTTCGAAGATGAAAGATCATAATCTATCTAATCGGTTGTTTTGTTTTGGTCGCGAGCTAATCAATAAGAAGATGAATGGTGAGATAATAGCTAACTATATTAGTTAACGATATTGATAAACATAGACCAAAAGATACAAGTGAATTGATTATTGTAATATTTATATAGTAAACTATATTATTATTTGAATAAGTAGTTAACTAACATTTTTATAGTGAACTATTTTTATCACCGTTGATGAAATAATAGCTAACTATATTGGTAAGCAATATTGATAAACATAGACCAAAAGATATTCAACTGAATTGGTTATTGTAATATTTATATAGTGAGCTATATTATTATTTGAATAACTAACTACCGTTTGTATAGGTATAATTTTAACTAACTATAACAACATAAAAAGAAATCGAATATAGTTAACTATACATACCGAATCTTGCTTTCCAAATTGATAGCATAACACACTTACACAGCTCGTATGGCTTAGGTTTAAAATCTCAAACACCAGTATTTAAGACAATCCACTCACCCAACATCACATCAACAATCGTCCCTTTTGGCTTCTGAAATAACAATCATCACAACAACAATCATCACCAGTATCATTAATATCATCATTAAGGATATTTTCGTCAAAGATTTACAACTCAATGCTATACACCTAAATACAAATCATGTGATGTTAGTTCCCTAATTTCAGTTACAAAACATAATATACACCTAATTAACCTAAAATAAAATGCTATTATATTTTTACCTAAATAAATGAAAATATGATCTAATTTGATACAAAAAGTTTCTCTAAAACATTAACTAACTAGGGATTGGCCACGCGTTGCGTGGGGTTTAAAAAATTAAAATGGTAAAAATTAACTTAATAATTTCTAGTTATTAATTATTTGTTTAATATTATATAAATTTGATGTTTACAGTAAATAATTATCTAAGTTAGAAGATTAAACATTTGTAACAAAT